AAGGCTGTTTCGCACCGTGGAGGTGATGGGGAAGGGAAGGACCAGGCAGGGTGTGGGCTCTCTGTCCTGGAGCTGCTGCGGCAGCAGGAGAGATGGACGTGAGGTCCTGGGGCTGCTGTGGCTGCATTCCGACGTACGGGTCTTTCATTCCCAGGAGACTTGAAACCCTGGTAGTTGTTTGGTGTCACATCCCAGTGCAAGGTTCGTTTCTGGATGAGACTAAAGAACTTTGGTCTCTGAATGCTGTGACTGTGGAAGGACAGAATATTATCACTCAATATTGTTCTTGTAATTTTTTTTTTTGAATTTTGCGATAATAAACCTGCCATTTGATTTAAGTCCTAGAATGGAAAAGATACCGTATGCAAAATAACCCCATTAAAAATCCTACTGTATTCAGGCAGTGACTCCACGAGCTGCCTGAGCCAGCCAGCGAAGTACTGTGAGCCTACGATGTACACGAGCCTTTTCCTCGATAAAGGGCTGGGAAACCTGTGGGTTTCCTCCTGCTTTGCAGTTCTAGGAAGGAGGCAGACACGGGCCGGGCGTTACAACCTGACGTGTGAGCCGTGCCTGCCCCGCTCCTCGGATGGATGCCGCTGTCTCCAAGGCAGGGATGTCCGATCCGGCTGTAAATTGGCTCCTGAGCGCCTGTAGCATCCAAGCCGGTGGATAATCGCCGTGAAGGCAGAGCTGCCCTTGAACACTGCTGGTTTCTAACAACCCTCTGCCTTTTTTTTCAATGACAGCTGCTGGACCCGTTCTCAGTGTTATTCCTTTCCCAGAGGGTTTTTACTCCATGTTTTTGGTTTTTTTTTTAAATCTACTTCAGTGCTCACAGTTTAATTTCAAGCTAAGCTGAAGCTAAGCTTCGCTTAGGGTCGGTTTGCTGTGGCATGCCGTCCGCAGACGGCTGTCTTGTAAGGAGAAACTTGGATGAGCCATGCGACAGCAGCTCCTCCGGCTGGGGTTTTCTCTCCCCAAAATAGGAATTGCTTTGAAGCAGCATGGGCTGGAGGGAACAAATTCACAGGGGCCCCTTTTGGGGTGTTTATAAGCATCTGAATGAGCTTTAATTGCAGTTTGTAATTTGAAAATGGGAAGTAATGAGCTCAAACTGTAGCAAGGGAGGTTTGAGGTGGAGATTAGGAGAAGGCTCTAATGGAGGATGGTGAAGTGCTAGAGCTGCCTGGCTGGGAGGGGGAAGCCCAGCATCTGGGGCTTCATGGGCTGGGGTAGATGAGCACCTCTGGAGAACGTTACAAGGAGCGTTTGTCCGGGCATAGGGCCCAGTCTGGGCGGTGGTGACTCAGTCTCGTTTGATGCAAAAATGGCCTTTCCATCATCACCGGGAGATGGACTGTCGCTAGTCCGGCTTTCCTGCTTCTTCATTTTTTCCTGACCATTAATTACAACATCCATTACTTATTCTAATTATACAGAACTCTAACTTTTCTGATTTTATTCTCCTTCCTCACACCGAATGACCTTGTGGACCGTGCCACTGATTCAAGTCAAAGCTGTTGAAGAGCTTGTTAGGTCTTGATGGTGTCAGGTGGAACATACGGTCTGGTGCCGTCTGTATCGTGATAAATGCGTATGGTGCGACTGAAAAGTTAGCAGTGCTTCTCTGTGGGTGTTCTACGGACGTCCATCTGCATCTGGAGGAGCCATTCAGTTAGCAGTGTAACTTCTAGAGCTGAAGATGGATTAACCGAGAATCAGCCTTGGAATTGAGCAGTTTTAAGTCTTTGACTTATCTGCAGAAAGGATTTTTTTTCCCTCCTGCTCTCCTGATTCTGGAAACTTGAGCTTTGGGGCTCCTATCAGCTGAGGAAGGAGCATCTTCTCACCTTTTTGCCCACTGTGGATAGGTCAAGTTTCACCTGGAGCTGAACATGGGGAGACAGCATCAAAAGCAGTGCCCTTTGCTAGACCAAAAATTCAACCTGTAATTAGTTAAAAGGTCTGTAATTAGAAAGATGCTTTACAGTTCAAGTTTAAATTAGCCTGCAGCTAAGGCAAGTTTGACACAGCTTGCCTTTAACCACTTGCTCTTGCAAAACCACACCCTGTCTAAAATGAGGAAGCCGCTGACTTTCGGCTGGTTTTAACTTCAGCTTTATAAAAAGGTTTTCTGTTCTGTTACGGGCGGTTTTTGCTGAGCGCTGCCCTGCGAACTGAAAACCTGTCTGCACTCTTACCCGGGGAGAAGGCTGGGTATTTCTGCCTTCAGCCCTTATTTACACGTGTTTGTTCGCTGACTCTTGACAGGGAAGCAGGTCCCAAAGGCTGCGTTTTTCGGCCCTGGCTTTGCTAATCCACGGTGGCTACCAGGCTTTGATACTGGCTTGAATGGAAGCAGTAGGAAGATAGCGTTTGCTCTTTGGAGACCTGAATAAAAGACTGTTTGGGGTTTGTTGTTTTTAAGGTTGTGTGGTCAAGGGTTGTATGTAAGGAAGAAGCTCAGCAGGTTTATTTAAGGCAAAGCCTGGGGCTAAAACAATTGGTTTAACTATTCTCAGGGTTTCCTACAACGTTCTCAGAGCTCCACAGGTCCTGCTTCATGCAGCATGAATCGGGATGATAAAATGAGGCTGCATCGCATGCTTGGCAATAGGAAAAAAGAGAAATTTCACCCTCTCTTGGAAAAATAATTGCATCAGCACCGTTTGCAGGTTAATATCGCTGCTGTCATGGGGGGGAAATTTAAAATCATTCCCCACCTTGGTTGCATTTCTGTTTCCATAGTCCATACCCTTATATCCAGGAGTGAGGCCAAATACTGACTCGAATTCCTCACTCTTCATCACATACTCCTAAAAAGTACATCTCCTAAATGCTGGAAACGGGAAGAAGATTTTGATCGATTGGAGCACGGTTCTCAGTCAGGCTGGCAGTGGGGAGCAGTGGAGGTCGACCAGGTGAGGTTGTCGGTGGGACTGAACACCGATGAACTCCGAAGCACACTTGGCAGGGACTTTCACAGCAGAACTGGGAGGCTGCGGAGTTTGATGAAGAGGAAGACCATACCGTGAGAACCAGGGCGTCGCGGATAACGGTGATGCTGCGGATGAGTCCATCGCGAGAGCCATCAGGGTCACATCTCTGGCACAGGTCTTGTATTCACACGAGCTGCAAAACTGCACGCCTGCATTGGATCAGTCACAGGGTAAAAATGGTCAGGGATGGAGCTGAACGTTTTCCCTCTGGCACGAGGGTGCGGGGAGCCTGCAGGGGTTAAAAAATGGGTCTTAAAATGCCTCTGCCTTCCTTGTGTCTGCTGAGCCTGCATTTCCCAGGGATGGACATGAAGCAGGATGGTGAGTGGGATCCTAAGCTGGCACCAGCCCAACCCTGATGAGACAAATCTGCTTTGTAGCTGTCCAGGTAGAGCACAGCCCCGCTCCCATCCCTAAAAGCGGGGTTAGCAGTTGGCATCTACCTGTGCTCCTACTGCCCAGATCCTCTCTCTGCTATGTTTTTTTTTTTATTCCTGTGGTTTTGGGGGCAAATCTCTATAAAGCAGGACTTGTCCGTTTTAATTGGGATGAT